GAGAAAAAGGGAGCGGCGGTTGCTGACATCAAGACAGTTTAACGGGCTGATCGACGAGCCGTTCAAATCGGTGGATCTGTATCCTGAGGATTTGAGAAGGGAGATTGACGAAACACACGAGTGGCAATACGACCTCATCAACAACGGCGTCTACAAATCTGGCTTTGCCACCACCCAAGAGGCCTACGAACGCAACGTCAAGGCTCTGTTTGAAGCTCTCGACCGGGCGGAGAAGCATCTTGCTGACGGGACGGAGGGGCCGTATTGGTTTGGGGAGCGGCTTACCGAGGTGGATATCAGGTTGTTTGTGACTATTGTCAGGTTTGATGTGAGTTCAAGTTCATCATTCCAACCCCCCCCCCCCCCCCCGACAACAGAGGAAGAGAGCTAACGGAAAATAGCCTGTGTATGTCCAGCACTTCAAGTGCAACATCCGCGACATCAGGTCCGGCTACCCTGCTATTCACAAGTGGATGCGGAATCTGTACTGGAACATCCCCGCGTTCAAGGACACGACAAACTTCAACCACATCAAGTTCCATTACACGAAATCGCACACGAATATCAACCCGCTGTCGATTACGCCTTTGGGGCCGGTGCCGGATATTTTGCCGAGGTGGGAGGAGGTGCCTGCTGTTAGTTTTAGGGGTTGATTTGAGCAAGTCATTTTTTAGCGCGGTTATCAGCAGGCTTGCGGCGTTGGGAACAGAGAGTGAATACAATGAGCAAAACATTGCGATTCTACCAAGGCATCTTCCTCTTGGGTCCCGTTTTCTGTTCCCGGCACTTTGGGTGTCTGTCCGTCTCTGTCCGTCTCAAAGTGGGAACAAACCACCCATCCCATCCTCCTAGGTGTTAACCACTTCCAAATCCCCACAATCATTATCATCAAACCAACACCCAATCCACCATCCCACACATGGCAAACGCCTTCCTCCCCACAACCCCCTTAAACTCCTCCCCCGTCAACCCCCTCGCATCCCTCCCATCCACCGTCGTAATCCCCACCAACCTCACCCTCTTCCCCACCCCCCCCAAATCCCTCGTCCTCACATCCAGCCACCACCAAAACCCGTCCGTCTCCAACGGCACGAACCTCTCCTTCCCACCCGCCCTCTTCTCATCCTCCCCAAAAACCAAACAAATCAACATCTGCCTCCCCCTCCCGTGCTTCTCACTCACCCAATGCGGGCATACCTTCCCAAACTGAAACCTCGTCACCGTTCCCTCCCCCGCCCCCGAAACACAAATCTCTTTCTGTTTCGGCTCAAATTACTCTTGATCCCAACCCCCCCTCCCTCTCCGCATCCCCCATCCACCCCGCCGGTTTCCTCCC